CTCGGTGCATCTTTTAAGCCGGTGATATGGAAAAGACACAAGTTCCCTTATGTGGAGCGATGTAGGGCCAATGCGGAGTGTGAGAGGTCTTGAGGCTGTTGTGGGCTCTTGATGGATTCTTGGAGTTGTCTTGGCTGGGCTCCGCACAAACTAAGGCTTGGCTCATTGTGGGGCTTGTGCTAGTTGATTCTTGAGGCTCGGCCATGTTCACTTGAAGGCCTTTTATTGCTTGTTCGGATTCTATCTCCTTGAGGGGCAAAGTTGGTGGGTGGAACACGAAGCTATGGTCACTCTCTTGCACAAGTATTGGCTCGGTCCCCTTCTTGACTTGTGGTTCATCGAAGTTCCTTGATGTGGTGGCCGTAGGGCTCCATTTGTTGTAATAAGCTCTGGACTGCCTTATCAAATGCTTCCCGAGCTGCTCTAGTCCTTGACCTTGTTTGAGGAGCCTCTCTCATGACAGGCATTGTAATGTCCTGCTCGGCTTCCTCTTCAGTTTCTTCCTCTTCGCGGTAGATGTCCTCATCAACTGGCTATGAGGATCGCTTAAACAGCTACACAGTTCCTTCCGAAGTCACACCACATCTGGCTTTTAACACAGAACGTGCCTCTACAGGACAGTACTTCAACCGTGGCAGAGGACAGTACAATAATAGAGGTCGCTCTGGTTCACGCGGTCGTGGCTCCTTTTCCACCAGAGGATGTGGGTTCCCACAACAGTTCTCGCCCAGAGGAGATGGCAATGACCGCCATTTCTGTCAAATTTGTGGAAAAGTGGGTCACCAGGCTTTACGGTGTTGGCATCGGTTTGATAACAGCTATCAGGATGAGAACGTCCCATCTGCTCTCGCTGCTCTCCGTATCACAGACATCTCTGACAACACCGGCCAAGAGTGGTACCCGGATACTGGAGCTACAGCTCATGTCACAAACACCACCCACAATCTCAACCAGGCTCATCCATATCACGGTAATGATGATGTCCTTGTTGGAGATGAAAACTTTCTGCCCATAACACATGTTGGTTCTGCAGAACTCTCATCTACTTCAGGTACTTTACCTCTTAAGGATGTGTTGGTTTGTCCTGCAATAGCTAAATCCTTATTATCTGTTTCAAAGCTTACTGCGGATTATCCTTGTTCCTTTAAATTTGATTCTGATGGTGTGCGTGTTAAGGACAAAACAACAAAGCAACTTCTGACTCTAGGAAGAGCTCGTGATGGGCTCTATACGCTTAAGAATCCAAAGTTTGCAGTCTACTATTCCACACGTCAAATCTCCACAAGTGACGAAGTGTGGCATCGGAGGCTTGGACACCCGCATTCTCAAGTCCTGCAGTTTCTTCAGCAGAATCATCGTATCAACATCAATAAGAGTACCTTGAAGATGTGTGAATCATGTCAACTTGGGAAGAGTAGTCAGTTACCTTTCATTTCATCTAGCTTTGTTGCATCCAGGCCCTTAGAGAGGATTCATTGTGACCTCTGGGGTCCTGCACCTTTTGTTTCCAATCAAGGATTTCGATTCTATGTAGTCTTTATAGACAAATACTCTCGCTTTTGTTGGTTCTATCCATTGAAATTAAAATCTGATTTCTATGGTACATTCATCGCCTTTCAAAAGCTTGTTGAGAATCAATTTTCTGCAAAAATCGGTGTATTTCAGTGTGATGGGGGTGGTGAGTTTATCAGCAAACAGTTCCTTAGTCATCTTCAAACCTCTGGGATTCAACAGTATATCTCCTGCCCTTACACCCCTCAACATAATGGTTTAGCAGAAAGGAAGCATCGTCATATTACAGAGCTTGGTTTAACAATGTTGTTTCAAAGTAAAACACCTCACACGTTTTGGGTGGAAGCCTTCTTTACGGCTAACTTTCTGAGTAATATTCTTCCCACATCTGCCTTGGGAGAAAAGAGGAGTCCTTATGAAATGCTTCATGGCAAAGCTCCTGATTACTCAGCCTTAAGAACGTTTGGTTGCTCGTGCTATCCCACATTAAGAGCTTACCAAAGCCATAAATTCGACCCCAAATCTCTTCATTGTGTGTTTCTTGGTTACAATGATAAGTATAAGGGATACAAATGCCTTTATCCTCCAACCGGAAGGGTATATATCAGTCGTCATGTTCTTTTTGATGAGACGTATTTCCCATTCGGTGATAAATACATCTCTCTTCAACCGCAAGCCTCCTCTGCAACTCTTGCGGCTTGGCAAAAGAGCTTCTTACTCTCTCCTGCACAGAGTAATACAACCGTATCTCAACCTCAGGCTTCATCTCCAATGCTTGTTGCTCCTTTGTTGTCCACTGCAGACTTCCCACCACTGCAACGATCCTCACCACCCCATACTACTCGCCCTGCGGAAGTCACTCTGCAACAGGAACAAGGTTCTTCGAGCACTATAGGATCATCATCTTCAGAGGGGAGTGGATGTACTGGGCGTACGGTGGGCTTTGATCCCATTCCTATAGGCGACAGCGTCTCACTCCCTTCTGCAGCTGTTCCCGATCCTGGCTCATCTTCTCCGCATTTACCTGCAACAACAAGCCATTTCCCAAATCATCCTATGACAACAAGACTCAAGGATGGCATTAGAAAGCCTAATCCTCGCTATGTCCTTTTGGCTCACAGAATCACTTATCCTGAACCTAAAACGGTCAAAGAAGCTCTCCTTGATTTCGGCTGGTCAAGTGCAATGAATGAAGAGTATGGTAATTGTCAAGAAACTAAGACCTGGTCTCTCGTCCCTTATACTCAGGGAATGCATTAGGGAGCAAATGGGTCTTCCGTACAAAACTTAACGCTGATGGTTCTTTGGAAAAGCTTAAAGCACGCCTTGTTGCTCAGGGATTTGGCCAACAAGAGGGAATAGACTATCTTGAAACATATAGTCCTGTGGTTCGCACTGCAACAGTTCGAACCGTTCTTCACTTGGCAACTGTTATGCGATGGGATGTCAAGCAAATGAATGTAAAGAATGCGTTTTTACACGGTGACTTAACAGAAACCGTGTATATGAGCCAACCAGCTGGTTTCGTTGATCAGAACAAGCCTGATCACGTGTGTCTTCTGCACAAGTCCCTCTACGGACTAAAACAATCTCCACGTGCCTGGTTTGATCGTTTAGTACCTTTCTCCTTGAGTTTGGATTTGTTTGCAGCATTAAAGATCCATCCTTATTCATCTATATGCACAACAAAGACGTGATCATGCTCTTATTATATGTTGATGATATGGCTATTACAGGAAATCAGTCTTCTGCAATGGACAGACTTATGACAGAGCTGCACAAGCAATTTAGAATGAAAGATATGGGCAAACTTCATTATTTTCTGGGAATACAAGCTCAGTTTCATGACAAAGGGTTATTTCTCTCGCAACAAAAATATGCAGAGGATCTTCTTGTCACTGCAGCCATGGCGGATTGCTCCCCGATGCCAACTCCTCTGCCTCTTCAACTCAACAGAGTTCATGACCACGACACACCTTTCTCGGATCCTCGGTATTTTAGAAGTCTGGCCGGTAAACTTCAATATCTCACTCTCACCAGATCAGATATTCAGTTTGCTGTCAACTATGTATGTCAGAAGATGCATGCTCCTTCAGTTGCTGACTTCACCAACCTGAAACGCATTTTAAGATACGTTAAAGGGACTGTGACTATGGGGATCAACTTTATCAAAGACACTGACTGTACACTGAGTGCTTACAGCGATAGCGACTGGGCTGGATGTCCTGTAACACGCCGTTCTACAGGAGGTTTCTGCACCTTCCTCGGCCAAAATATCATTTCCTGGTCTTCCAAGAAACAGCCCACCGTGTCTAAAAGCTCAACGGAAGCTGAGTACCGGTCTCTCTCTGAAACAGCATCTGAAATCTCCTGGATCAGTGCTCTTTTAAGGGAACTCGGTGTATCTCTCCCTCTTACACCGGAGTTGCATTGTGATAATCTCTTCTCTATCTACTTGACTGCAAATCCTGCATTTCACAAACGGTCAAAACACTTTGAGATCGACTATCACTATGTTCGGGAGCGTGTTGCCTTGGGATCCTTACTTGTTAAATACATTCCTGGTCATCTTCAGCTGGCTGATATATTCACCAAGTCTCTGCCGTTTAACGCATTCTGCACTTTGAGATACAAACTCGGTGTAGACGTTCCTCCCACACCAAGTTTGAGAGGGGATATTAGAGCAAATACTCTACCTGCAACAGCGGCTCCTCAAAACGACATAACTTTGCAGAAAATTAAACAAGGTGTGGGCCAAACGGTTTCCTGGCCCAATGACTCTGATCAACGTCGCAAGCCCAGCTCTCAAAAGGAAGAAGCTCCAACGGCTAAGTCACAAGAAGACAACAAAAACAGAGTTAGTACGGTTCAGAGCATTAAGCGCAAAGAAGAAATGTCGGGAGCCTTGAGCACAGAAAAGCAACAGTATCAGATCAAGCTGTCCAATCAATTCTTAGTCCTTGATCAAGAAGAAAGAGTCTGATCGTGCCACCTGTCTAGCTCACTAGGGTTTTACTCACTGATGTATAAATATACTCTCTTTGCGTTGTAAGAACATTAAAGTTGAAAAGAAATCAAAGTTTAAATCCTTTCTTCTTCAAATACTCAGAAGCATGGCTTCTGCTAACAAAGCCAAGATGATAACACATTGGCGATACTAATACAAACCATTAAACTAATGTATTGTCAATCGTTGTTTTTTATCTACTGTCGGAGTAGAAGAAAGAAGAATAAATCGACCGAATCAAGGGCTCCTTAGTGAATGTATGTCTTCGACCAAAAAAAAAAAAGTGAATGTATGTCTCAACGGCTACAATTCAAGTCCGGTTTACTCTCATCGTCCCTTCCTTTAACAATTAAAATTAATGGCGCATGGACCATTAAGCGTGGTCCACCAAATTCAAAATGTGCTAAATCATAGTTTCGTAAAACAAAAACTCGAGAGCGATTATAGCAAAGTTATAGCTGACGGCAATGGCGATGGAGAGTTTGATCCGAGAATGTTACTATATATGAGAACTGAAATTGATTGCAATACATTAGGATGGAATCGAGAGATCATTTTATTACATAGTTGGAAACCAAACAGAAATAAATAAAAGGCAATAGAATATAAGTAAATAACATATCGAATTATCTTTTCTTATAGATGCTCTTAATGTCTTCTTCTGGAAGATCAAGGCATGTATGTAGTTATTTTGTTTTTGTTTTTTTTTTTTCAAGAGGAATCTCAAATGGCTTCAATTAGTGTTACGGTACCTAGGTTGTGGATAGCGTCCTGATTCAATGTCATTGACATCTCTAATGAGCAGTTCGTAGTGTCTTTTAACCTCTTCAGCTGATTTGCCACCAACTGCTCTTGCAACGTTTTGCCAACGGTCAGGAGTGTCCTTGTCGTACTTAGCCAAAGCCATTTCGAACTGCTTGTCTTGTTTAGCTGTCCATGACGAGGAAGAGCTCCGGGAAGTGCTGATTGAGTTGGAAGCCATAATTAGTATGAAAATGTGCAACTGTAAGATAAAAAACAAGAGAATTGAGAAGTTGGGTTTGTATTGATGATGAAGAGTGTTGATTTGTTTTAGTTGAAGAGAGTGTGGAGCTAGCTCCTTATATGTAGGATGAAAATAAAAGAGAGCATATAAGCCAGTTGGAGGAATATATCTTTTGAAAGGAGAGATTTTTTTTTTGTAGAGTGACCCAATATTCTTTTAGCAACCACATAAATTCTTAGTGAGGGGACAAATTTTGATAGAAGCTTTGATATTATGATCATTAGAGTATAGAGTCCTTTAAGGGTTTAATAGTTATAGTGGAATTGAGATTCCTTGACCATTGCTATAGAAATTTAGGATGCTTCCTTTTCTTGATAGTATCATTACTGTAAACTAAAAATACTATTGGACCCTCCCTTACCTCTTTCAGCATTTTGGATCTTATCATCATTTAAGAGTCGAATTAAACCCCTATCGTATCAGATACTAGTCAAAAGCATGTGATTGCTAAGCTTGTGTTTAGCATTTCTTGCTTGTGTGATTGTGATATAATAACTATTAGAGTTCCTCTTGGATTAGCGGTTAAATGATATGTCTTTTCGATGATTAGCTCTGTCGAAGCTTTTATGACTGTGACAAGAAAAGAATATTGCCATTATTGGTCTCAAGCTTCTTGAGCAGCTTCAGGTAATCTTATATTTACTGGTTTATATTGAGCATCTATTAAAAAAGGACGATCTCTTTTCGTGAATATTGTTAAACCATATATTTTATGTCCGATGCTTTAGCGAGCCGGTGTAAGTGTACGTCAGAACATGATTCCAATTATTACACAATCTCAGACGACACACAGTGAGATTTTGTACTGTGGCATAATCAGAGATTTTAACCCTCTCATGAAACCGTGGGTGCCACGGAATAACATTCTTGGACAACGAACGGTTCCATTTTTATTAAAGGAACAAAAAAAACCAAAATGATTCCTCCTCATCAAGGAAACCATATTTATCATTTTGTGTTCTAGATTAGTTCTTCTTACGTTAGCTCTTTGATCTCTTGGGGTTTTGTTGTTGCACAAACTTAATTGAAATGAGATATGGGAAAAGCAACACATTTTAAGGAATATTCAGGTGTTCATGTCTTCTTTATTTATACTTTGAACGTGGTTAGAGGATCGGACAAATTCAAAATCTAGCTTGGGATCTTATCTTCGTGAGATCTTCTGCGCCTTTCCTACGCTTGGTGTGCCCGTTTGTTT